GACTGAGGCCTCAGCTGGGAGCACTGAAGGGGAAGAAATGGAATGTTCACAGGGAAAAGGCTGGATTCTGCAGAGGAAATGCTCTGGCGCACTGACTCAGCTGCAGGCGCTAGGCAGGCTGTGTGCCTCCTGCCGGCCCTCATCTCACAGCTCCCACCTCCAGGAGTAAGGCTCTCTCCTCACGTCCACCTGCCCTCCCTCACCTGGGCTCCTCGTGGTCCACTTTACATGAAGGGGCTCTGGGTCCCTGTAATACACTGCAGGGAGGGGGAGGGGAGGCTGAGTCCCGCACAGACAGCCCAGCATGGTGTCCTGAGGAGGGTGGGGAAGGTCAGGGAGGTCCTCACCCTCACACCCCCTGGGTCCTGATCTGAAGCTGATGGCAGAGCCCGACACCACCTGCTCACTCAGGTCCTAAGAGAACCTCCCTCGCCACCCTGAGCAGACCTCCCCCTTTAGTGCCATCATTTGGACACTTTCCTCTTCCTATGGGGGTCAGCTGCTTTCTGGCCCTTAGGGAACGTGTGACTCTCTGTGTACAGGGATGAGTAACAGAAATGGGCAGAGAACTTGCTTTACTGTTCACAGAAGATGATCTATCTGAAACTTTGAAAGCATAAAATCATAGGAGTGTCTACATAAAATCAACATCTTCAGATAAAACATGAAGGTGGCTTTCACCATTTCCTTAAGAGCACAACTGCGAAAAGGACATTAATAATGAACTAGAACAGTGGTTGGCAAACTGCGGCCCCTTGAGTGTGGCTCTTCCACAAAATACCACGTGCGGGCGCGCACGTACAGTGCGATTGAAACTTCGTGGCCACACTCAAGGGGCCAAAGAGCCACATGTGGCTCCCGAGCCGCAGTTTGCCAACCACTGAACTAGAAGAATATGCATCACAGTTACTGGTAAAACAAACTTATTTGTTTGTCCTTAACAGAGCATTCCAGTGGATTATCTTCATGTTCACCACTTAGAAAGGAATTGCCTTTCAGTCAGTATTTCTTCCCACCATCCTGATGCAGCTGGCTATCTATAACTGTAGTGACGAGATAAAAGTGATCCTTTCTCTTTTTAAATATCAAACACAAGACTAGAGGCAGCTCTGGACCCATCTCCCAGAACCAACTACCTGCGACCATGTTCTTGGGGTACTGCTGAACCCTGATGTCTCCATGTCTGCCACGTACCTGCCTGGTCAGTCCTAAGCACCATCCTACAGCCCACAGTCACCAGAATCCTGCCCACCTCACTTGGGGCTCATCCAAGACCTTGGGACCTTCTGGAAGCCGCATCCCTGCACCAAGGCACCCACCCCTTGACCTGCTCCTCCAGGTCAAGGTCAACAGCAGAAGTGAGGGTCCTGTGCCTGCCATTCCAGGCATGTGGCGGCCACCTAGGCTTGGAGACGCTTTCCAATGCATGGCTCTGATCCTATAACCCAGCCTTATTCTCCAATGCTGGGAGGGTCACTAGAGTCAGAGGGTTTGGTCTGTTCCGCACCAGGAGCAGAGTGTGGGACCTCAAGCTCACTCTTCTGAGAACAGAGAGGCCGTTCCCTGTCCTCGGGTCAGGCACCCAGATCAGTAGGGCCTCCACCATCAGAGGAGCACCCAGACCTCAGTGCCAGGGAGACCGCACTGAGCACTCGGGAGACCAAGGTTTGACCAGGAACTGCTCTTCTTCAGAGCCCATTGGTGATGAAGCCCCAGATGAGAAATGGGGGAAGTCCTTTCCTTGTGCCCTGAGGGGTCTCTGAGCAGAAGCTTTCATTCACCCAGTAAGGGAGGATGACACCCAAACTGCTGTGAGACCACACCCGCCCAGGCCCCAATCCTCAGCTAGTTGAGGACTCAACTCCAGGGCCTCGGTCCTGACCTGAGTCTGCAGTACTGGCCACAAGTGGGGACCATTTTCTGCTAAGGACACCCACCGGCCCAGTCCCCCCACAACCACCCAAAGGTCCAGTCCTGCCAGGCACCTCTGGAGACTCCAGTCCCAGCTGCTTCCACCTGCTGGGCCTGCATCTCACCATCTCACCACCAGAGGCCACTGACCACCACGGGCCCCCTCACCAGCTCCCACTGACAGGGCTGCCTACCTCCCAGACTCCTGTCCTTCTCCTGTGGAGCCCTCCAAGGAAAGGAGTGTGTTTGGAATCATGAGATCTCAGCCACCTGCATCCTGCTCTGTACTTCCTGTGGGCACTCTGCTCCTCCCATATACCAGTAGAATCCACTTTGGGGCCCTCAAAAGAAGACTGGAAGCCGCTTGTCATCTCCATCCAGTCCCAGCTACAACACCTCCCAGCCCTGCCGTCCCACCCTCCTCAACACCTCAGCCCCTACCTTTGCCACCCCAAGGGCATCACACCCACACCTGTGGCCTGTGGCCCCATCACACCAACCCCAGCTCAGCCAAAGCTGCCGCAGCCTCTTCTAGATCTGTGAACCCAGCACTCCCAGGTTCCTGCCTCAGCCATCGAGGAGGCAGTGCTCACCATAGGGCTGCTCACCCATCTGTCTAGAGGCTGGAGGCCCAAGGCCTCTGTGTGAACCCAGGACAAGGCCAGACAGGACCCCTTTGGATATGAACTCTCCTCCTGGGCACACTGGAGAGAGTTGTTCCTTTCAAAAGATTTGCCATCTCCCTGCCTGCCCCTCCTTCCTGCCTTCTTCCTGGGGAGCACACTTCCCAGAAAGACTCATCTTCCCCACTTCCCATTTGCTCATGGACAGTCTCAGCCAACAGACATGAGAGAGGGTCTCCCTGAAATTGTCCCCTGTGGACCAGGGAGCCCACAGCCACTGACCTTCCACCAACATCTTTACTCCCAGGACATGCTGGACACCTCTCCCTTCACACCCAGGAACTGTAAGTCCTGAGACACCCAGGCCAGGAAGTAGGGGCCTGGCTGCTGGAATCTGGAGATAGAAGGTAGGTCCCCTTTCAGTCATCACCCAGCTTGCCCCCTTCTCACCCCAGAGTCCTCTCTGTGGCCTTCCTGCTGGGAGGAAATCCAACCTTCACAGAGCATTTGAGAACTCGGGGAAGACCCAGTGTCACCGGACAAACAGTGGGTCCAAGCTGCCTGTCACTGCTCAAGCCAGTGAAGCAGAGACAGGGTGGAATCATGAGTGTTTATTCCAGTGCTGCCGGCAGCATGGGAGAGCAGCAGGTCAGCCACAGAAATCTGCGCTGCACCCCACCACAAGCCAGTTGTTTATATAGCAAAAGCACAAAGGAAAAGTAGGCCAAAGGGCAGTTTACAGACATGCAAAAGGACTAAGGGTCTTTAAAGGGCTTAGTGATATCCAAGGACTGGGGTTACATGGGAAGCAGCTAAAGCGAGTGCCAGATGGGCAGTTAACAGGTAAGCAGGCTGGAGGTGTGCAAAGGCCTGCAGGTGTGCACAGTGGGCTGGGGGATCTCCAAAGGGCTGGGATCCTAGTTTCTGCAGCAAAGTTGTTCATCTTTCCATGGTAATAGGCAGCTCCAAATGGGGAGGAAGCGCTGCTCCAGGTCAGCTCCAGCCAGGGTAGAACGTGCCTTCTTTCATCAGAATAAAACAATCATGGTTAACAGAGCGTGATTAATATTTCTTACAAAACTAGTTGGTTCCCCAAATTCTATGGCTGCCCCCTTTCACCAGTGCCCAGCTGGGTTGAGTGTTACAAATGGGAAAAAAGTCCCCAGGTTAGGGGAGCAGAGGGGCTATTTGAGTGGTGCTGACAGACCCAAGACCAGGACACAGCAGAGGCCAATGCTGGCGTGATGGGGTCATCCTCTCAGGTGAAGGGGCCTCCATCAGCCTTGCTATTGCAATTGTGCTCCGATGCTCTCATAATTTTTAAACAAACAAATTTAGATGTTTACAAAAAATGGCAAGTGAAACACGCTCATGGATTTATTAACAAGCATTGGATTTTCACTTCTGTGTTTTGTGGACTGCTGTATGCCCAGCTATACTGCCTGGGAGAGCAGAATAAGCTCAATAAATATGCGATAAATGACAAAAAGAAAGACAATGGGCTCCACAGGCCAGTAAGACCCACCTCCCCTGAGAGCTCGTTAGATGCAGAGTCTCTGGTCCACTCACACCTACTGAGTCAGAATCTGCATTTGTCTTTGGCTTTTTTATTTTATGTTTTTTAATTGACTGGTTTTAGAGAGGAAGGGAGTGTGAGAGAAACATTGATTTGTTGTTCCACTCATTTAAGCATTTAATGGTAGATCCTTGCAGGTGCCCTGACCTGCCATCAAACAGGCAACCTTGGCTTATCAGGAGGAAGCTCTAACCAACTGAGCTCCCCAGCCAGGGCTCTCAGAATCTGCCTTTGAACAGGATCTGCAGACACTCCTGTGCACAGGAGAGAGGCGGGGCTGCCCCACCCCCAGTTCACAGCCTGGCGGGCATCCACATTAACTGGGGAGCTGATAAGCAGCATTTCTACAGTGTCCTGTAGGCATCACCATCTTTACCACCGTCCACAGGTGATCCGATGCACAAGGGGTTGACATCCCTGTGACAAGAGTTTTTCATGTCAGCCCAGGGCTCCTGCTCAGAAACAGAAGTCCAGAAGGAATAAGAGAGGCCCCAGGGGGCGCTACTGGGCACTCAACTTGAGCTCTAGGGAATTTCCCCCACCCCCACCTCCACCTCCTTGTCCAAGACTCAAGCTTCTCTCAAAAGGAAATGCCTATGGGGGTGGAGGGGGTGGAGAATCACTGAGGAAACAGAGGTCTCATCAATTCCCAGGATCTGACATTTAGCTGGAAGGTAACCAGGAAGGTGGGAGGGGGAGGGGGAAAGGAGGGGAGGACATAGGAAGGGACCTGGGCACAGACCCCGCCCCCTGCCCATGTGACCAGGAAAGTGATCTTGCCCTAGAGGAGGCTCAGCAGGTCCCACCAGTAGGGAGAGCAGTGCCTGTGAGTGTTTCTGGACCTCAAGCTCTTCTCACAGAGGGAGGGACGGAAATGGAGTCCCCCTCAGTCCCTGCTCACAGAGGGTGCGTCCCCTGGCAGGGGCTCCTGCTGGCTGGTAAGGAGGGGATAAATCCTGGGGGTGGACAGGAAAAGGGGAAACAGAGACTGGCTCAGGGTCTCCTGGGGAGCACAGCGCTCTGAGAGGGGACAGAGGGCCTCTGTTTGAACCTGAGGGAAGAGGACAGGGGAGCAGAGTGGGATGGGGGTGGGAGCTCAGCAGCAGGACACTCCCATGATCTGGAGGTGGTGAGGGGCAGGAACACCTTGATTATGGTAAGTTTTACAAGTTATTCATCACTGAAATACTTTCTGAAAACTGATTATAATAATATCTATTTGTGTCAGGGTGACACAAGAAAAAAATGAACCAGGGGCACTAAGCATTGTCTCTACCTCCAACCTCAGAAATAGGCACATACACCCCAGGGTCTGCGGGACCCAGGGAGCGCTCATTCATTCACCCACAGGCACTTCAGCCTGCTGCAGGCCCTGGGGGTACAACAGAGCAGACAAACCCCTTCCCCCATGGAGCTCACCTTCTATGGAGAGGAGACACACAAGGAAACATCTAGATGTGAGGCAGGGACCCTCAACTGCCATGAGGAAAACAGAACAGGGACAGGTCAGAAAGTGGAGACACAGGTCTTTAGTGTCAACAGGGGTCTGAGCTGTGCCTGTGAGCATTTCTGACTTCAGGATCCAGGAGCCAGGCAGGCACCTGGGAGTTTTCAAACAGGAAATAAGGTCAGAGGTGCTGAAATATTGCTGGCCATGCTGCTGCACTTGACCACAGGAAATACACTCACACACACCAAGGCTGAGAGATGAAGAGACCTGCTAGGACCCAGGCCGTCATCTTTCCTTCCCAATACATTGCTCCAAATCTTGATCAACTTCTCTCTTCCCTCCTAGCCTCAATCTTAACCCTCTGGAGCCTGCCCACCACTGCCCAGCTCACTATTGAATCAGTGCCGCCCAATGCTGCCGAAGGGAAGGATGTGCTTCTCCGTGTCCACAACCTGCCTGGGAATCTAATGGTCTGTATCTGGTACAAAGGGGAAAAAATAGACAACAACCTTCGAATTGCATCATATACAGCACACACTCAAGCAGTTACCCTCGGCCCTGCATACAGTCAACGAGAGACAATGTACCCCAATGGATCTCTGCTGTTCCAGAAAGTCACCCTGCAGGACACAGGATACTACACCCTAGTAGCCTTAGACAAAGATGCTGAGAGCATACAAGTAACTGGACAGCTCCGTGTATACCGTGAGTGATTGCTCTCTGTCCTCTGGGTGTCGGGTGGGGTATATTCTACTTCACACACAGGACTGACAGCCCTGCACTCACTCTGCCTCCATCCCCCTCTGCCTCATATTCCAGGTTGGGTTTGGGCCTTTAGTGCAGGACACACACAGTGGAGACAAACTTTCTAAGGTCAGAGTTCCCTTCCCGGATTCCAGCCCTGCAGACATTCTCCACAGAGAGAAGGACCCATCTGATGGCAGTGACTCAGCAAAGGGAACCAGCCTCAGTCCAGTCCCCTTGGCCCCGCCCAACCAAGACCCAGAGAACAACCCTGCAGGGCTCATGCTGGGCCTGGCCTGGGGGACCCTGGGATCCTCACAGAGAAGTTCAATTCAGGCAGCTGCTCCACCCCCCTCCCCGAGACCTCTGCCCCAGGGCTCCTGACTCCAGGGAATATGAAGAGACTCTGGGTGATTGAGATTGATCTGTGGCCAGGCCTGACTGGCAGCAATAGTTTCCCAGGTGCCCAAGTCACAAAGCTCCTGAGGTGGTCACCAGCCAGGGCTCAGCCTCAAGAGCCACATCTGGGGAGGGATGGAGCCTGCTCCTTCGCCTGAGACCATGAGTGGGGAGTATGTGGACAAGGTCCCTAGGCCATTAGCCAATTGCCTGGGGGACATAGGAAGGAAGAGGAAGATAGTGTCTCCAGGGAGGAAAAGAGAAGGTGTTCCTGGAAGCTCCCAGTCCACCAGGGATCTGTCCACTGCATCCTCTCTCACAGACACAAATAATAACAGAGGCTGTTAACTTGGGCAGCCCCTCTATTCCAAGCTTTAGGTTAGAACAGTGGTCGGCAAACCGTGCCTCGTTAAACACATGTGGCTCTTTGGCCCCTTGAGTGTGGCTCTGCCACAAAATACCACGTGCAGGCATGCATGTACAGTACAAAGTTGACTTAAAACTTTAAGTAAAGTTTATTAAGTTAATTTTAGGGAACGTTGTGGAGTGAAAAAATATGTAGTGTCGAAGATTGAGAAAGGTATGTTGAGATGGTTTGGACATATAGAGAGGATGAACGAAAGGAGATAGACGAAACAAATATACAAGACGAGTGTGGATGGGAGAGTTGGAAGGGGTCGACCTCAGCGAATGTACCTCAATCAGATTGAGGACCTTTTTAGCAAAGGCCAGCTTAGGAGTACCCTAATTAAGTTAATCACAATGTACCTACCTATATAGTTTAAGTTCAAAAAATTTGGCTCTTAAAAGAAATTTCAATCGTTGTACTGTTGATATTTGGCTCTGTTGACCAATGAGTTTGCCGACCACTGGGTTAGGAAATTGTGAAAGATTTAAGGGTCATTCACAGGCAACATGGCAAACCTGAGACCATTTACCACTTATCCTGTTTCATTCAGGGAAAACTGAGTTACAGGAAGATACAGTCACTCAATCAGAATCACACAGACTGACTGACCAACGTGAGTCATGCCAAGGCCTCTCCTCCACTCCAAGGGCCTTATTATGCTCACTTCACCCCTGACTGGTGACTCACATCCTCGTACTGGTGTGAGGCTCCCATTCCTCCCAGTGGCTCCCGAGGCCTTCCCCAGGTGGGCCTGGTGACCCTGCACCATCTGACTGGTTCACTGCCTGTTTCACACACATGTTCTCATAATGACACCTTGACCACAGGGTGGGATCCCCTCAGATGGTGAGATCCACCAGCCACTGTCCTTTCTCTTAGACGCTGCTCAATTTGAATGAATTTGACTAAACTCCAGTTGTTTCCTGAGTTAGAAGGAAAAGGAAGAGCACATGCCACAGGCCCGTGTGGGGGCTCCTCCCCACCTGCCTGACTGTCCATAGAAACAGGGAGGGACCTTCTCCCTAACTTTACTAACATGGAACATATCCTTTCTACCAATTTGATGACATCCCCTCCTTTATACAGCAGACACCTGGACTCAGCCACCGGTCACTTCTGTTCTCTTTGCAGGACTCACCTTCTCTCTATCCAGGGAGTCCCTGATTTCTAACCCACTCTGGCATCTCCCTTTGTTCACAGTATGACCTGGTTGGATGGCAGAACTTGGTCTATGACCTTCGTACCCTCTAGAAAGAGATTCCTGAAAAATCTGGCATTAGAACTTTGGGGCATGAGTGATTTTCACATATTCTTTCACAGTTTAACGCAAAATCTATCTCATAACTGCCAAACACAAATGGACCGTGAGGGCCATATTTTCAGCAAGTTCATGCTCCCCCACTCCACAAGCCCCCCTTCTGTATGTGCTATTGTCTGCATGTTGAGGAAGGATCCCTGCCCTCTGCAGTGGCAGAAAGGACATTAAAGTCCAAGGGAAGAGAGCCTGGCTCTGCTGCCACCCCCAGCCAGCTCCTGCTGCGCCTCACTCTTTTCTAAATTATTCCTGGACTCTGCCCTGCCCTTTCTGGGGTCACTGCCTCATGTCAGTCACCAGTGACTCCTGGGCAGACGGCCACACCTTGTGGCCCTGCAGCCTGGGTACTGCCAGACTAGCTTCTGATCTCCCGTGTATTGTTTATGCTCAGACACCCAGTTCCAGGACACCCTGCCCAGTCCTCTCTGGGCTTAAGGACTATGGGGTGGCCCATCATTACTCATCTCTAGGATGACCCTGGACTGTGAGACTTCGGTGGAAACACATCTCAACCCGGCAACATAGGTCTGTGTAGCTGGAAGGGACTCAGCACCTGCACATTCCAGGTGAGAGCCAAGGTCAGCCAGGCAGTCAGCCGGTCAGTGAGGAGCCAGGACAGGTGCCAGGTGGTCTCTGACTCCCAGTCCTGTGTCTCTCTGTGATGAAACTCTAATAGTTATCTGAGCCCTGAGAGTCTGTGCTTTTTCTCCCAGACATAGAGCAGGCAGCCTTATATCTTCTGTGTGCTCAGATCCTCATGCATTTGTTTGTCTTGTGATGCACAGACCTGCCTTATTCTTTTAAAAACTCAGGTTGGCTGAGAGGCAAGAGGTGTCAACTCTGATGAAAGAAGCCTTTAGAGCAGCGGTTCTCAACCTGTGGGTCGCAACCCCTTCACAGTCAGTCATCTCCTCTGTTCTCCACAGAGCCAGTGGGGAAGCCAGCCCTCCAAGCCAGCAATGCCACAGTCACAGAGCATAAGGACGCCCTGGTCCTGACCTGCCTCACCAATGACAGGGGCATCTCCATCCGGTGGCTCTTCAAGAACCAGATTCTACCTCACAAGCACAGGATGAAGCTGTCCCAGGACAACAGCATCCTCACCATAGACCCTGTCAGGAGGGAGGACACTGGGAGCTTTCAGTGTGAGGTCTTCAACCCCATCAGTTCCAGCAAGAGTGACCCTCTCAAGCTGGACGTACAATGTAAGTGACTCCTTGCCCCGTCTACATCTCCCTGGGAGGATTGCTCTACCAATGGTGTGAAAAATGGACAGAAGTCACAGGGAGCAGATTGTCAATCGGGAGACAGCACAGTAAACAGAAGGGCAAAGTGGTTAAGAGCTCAGTTTCCGACCCTGGATCTGGCATTCACTGTGACCTTACACAAGGTTGTTTTTATGCTCATTTTTTATGTGATAAACTATACACAAAATTTACCATTTTAACTTTTAAGTGTACACCTCAGTGGCATTAAATGCATTCACATTGTTATGCAATCATTACCACTATCCATTAGGAACTTTTTCATCTTGCCACATTAAAACTCTGTACCCATTAAACACTCGCTCTCCAATCCCCAATCCCAACCCCTGGAAGCCACCATTCTGTTTCTATTAATATGACTACTCTAGGTACTTCATATAAGTGGAATCATATGATATTTATCCTTTTGTGTCTGGCTTTTTTTCACGTAGCATAGTGTCTTCAAGTTTCGTCCATATTATAGCATATATCACAATTTCATTCCTTGTTAAGGCTGAATAATATTCCATTGCATCCATCACATTTAATTTCTCATTCATCTGTCCATGAATTCTGTGTTGTTTCTACCTTTTGTCTGTTGTGAATAATGCTGCTATGAACAAGGGTGTACAAATATCTGTTCAAATCCCTGCTTTCAATTCTTTTGAGTATTTACCAAAATACTGGATCAAATAGTAATTTTTGTTCAATTTCCTGATGAACTGCTATGCCGTTTTCCATAGTGGCTGCACCATTAAATATTCCTGCTGGCAATGCACAGAAGTTCCAGTGTTCCCCATCCTTGCCAACACATTGTTTTCTGGGTGGTTTTTTGGTTTTTGAAATAGCCATCTCAATCGGTGTGAGGTGTTATCTCATGGTGGTTTTGATTTCATTTCTCTAATGATTAGTGATGCTGAGCATCTTTTCATGTGCTTATTGTCCTTTTCTATATTTTCTTGGAAGACATTTCTATTCAGTTCCTCTGGCCATTTTTTCATCCTATTGTTTTATTGTTGTTGTTGAGTAATAGTTACATATATATTCTGGATATTAATCCCTTATCAGATATATGATTTTCACATATTTTCATCCATTCTGTGTGTGTCTTTGTTCTTTTTAACATTGTCGTTTCATAAACACAATTTTTAAAATTTTGATAAAGTCCAATTTATCTACTTACTAGAGGCCTAGTGCATGAAATTTTGTGCACCAGTAGGGTCCCTAGCAGCTGCTGGCTGCCAGCCGGGACCTCCCTGGTGGTTAGTGCACGTCTAACACCCAGTTGGTCGAACTCTCACCCTTAGGGACAATTTGCATATTAGCCTTTTATTATGTAGGATTCTTTGTTGCTTGTGCTCTTAGTTTCATATCCAGAAATTCCTTGACAAATCCAATATCATAAAGATTTCATCCTATGTTCTCTTTTAAGAGTTTTTTTAAGTTTAGCTCTCACACTTAGATTTTTGGTCCATTGTGAGTTAATTTTTTGTATATGGTGTTAAGTAGTTCCAATTCATTCTTTTGATGTAAATACCATTTTCCAAGTGCCATTTCTTGAAAAGACTGTGCTTTCCTTCTTGTATGGTCTTGGCACTTTTTTTTAATTGATTCTAGAGAATGAAAGAGAGAGAGAGTGACTCTTGATGTAATGATGTAAGAGTGAAACATCAGCTGGCTGCCTCCCGCACATGCCTTGCCTAAGGATCAAACCAACAACCTGGGTTGTTTCCTGACCAGCAAATGAATCCATCATCTTTTAGTGTATGGGACGGTGCTCCAAACAGCTGAGCTACACCTGGCAGGGAAGGTCTTGGTACTCTTGTCAAAATCATTTGACCATATATATGAGGGTTTATTTCTGGGCTTTCTAATCCATTTCTATATGTCACAGCCTTACAGTAAATTTTGAAATAAGGAAGTATGAATCCTCCAATTTTGTTCTTTTTCCAGTTTGTTTTGGTTATTGGGGGTCTCTTGACATTCCATATGAATTTCAGGATGGATTTTTCTATTTTTGTTCCAAAAATGTCATTGGGATATTGATAGGGATTGCATTGAATCTGTAGATCACTTTGGGCAGTATTGTCATCTTAACAATATGTAGTCTTCCAATCCATTAACACAGAATGTCTTCCCATATTTTTCCAGCAATTGTTTTTTTGTGGTTGTTCAGTATATAATAAGTCTTTCACTTCCCTGGTTAAGTTAATCCCTAAGAATTTTATTCTTTTTGATGCTATTGTAAATGGCATTTTCTTAATTTCCTTTCTGAATAGTTCATTGTTCATATATAGAAGCACAACTTATTTTTACCTGTTGATTTAGTATCCTGCAACTTTGCTGAACTTGTTTATTAGTTCTAACAATTTTTGTGGGACTTTTGGGTTTTCTACATAGAAGGTCATATCATATGCAAACAGACATAATTTTACATCTCCTTTTCCAATTGGGATGCCTTTTATTTCTCATTCTTGTCTAATTGCTGGCTAGGACTTCCAATACTGTTTTGAGTAGAAATGGCAAACGAAGGCAGATCTTTGTCTCTGCCTGATCTTAGGAAAAAACGTTTAGTCTTTCACTATTGAGAATAATGTTAGGTGTGGGTTTGTCATAAACGGCCTTTATAATGTTGATGTAGTTTCCTTCTATTCCTAGTTTGAGCATTTTTATCATGAAAGGATGCTGAATTTTGTCAAATGCTTACACTGATTCAATCTCCTTACTATTTATAGGTCTATTCATATTTTCTATTTCTTTGTTGTGCTGTGCCAGCACAGCTAAGGGTTCGGTAAGCCTGAGCGGGGGAGGTGAAGGATTAAAGCAAAGAGAGACAAAGAGAATATGCCCGGGGCTTGGTGGATCTCTTGTGCCTGGATGAGGTCACAGAGAAGGATCCAGCCAGCAAGCTGAGGCTTTATTTTATAGTCAGAGAAAAACAAGGTAGTGGTCAACATAGTTACAATGTTCTTGTGAGTTTCACTTGTTTTGGCAGCACTTGCTGGATCTCCCAAAGCCCATTAGCTACCTAGGAATTATCTAGGGGGTGGCCATAAGGTCAAGCTTAATTATGCTAAGAGGGCTCTGCCCTCTAAGCGGGGACTTGTTTGTGGCTCTGCCACGTCAATCTGAGGCTTAACTCTGGAGCCGCTCCCTCCACTTTGTGATTCCATCTTGGTAAGGTTTTGTGTTTGTCCATTTCATCTAAGTCATCCAATTTGCTGGCATACAATTACTCATAGTACTATTATAATTCTTATTATTTCCATAGAATTGGTAATAATGTACCCACTTTCATTTATGATTTTAGTAATTTGAGTCTTCTCACTTTTTTTCTTAGTCAAACTAGGTTAAGTTTTGTCAATTTTTTCATCTCTTTTGAGGAACCAACTTTTTTTTTTTTAATATATTTTATTGATTTTTTACAGAGAGGAAGGGAGAGGGATAGAGAGTTAGAAACATCGATGAGAGAGAAACATCAATCAGCTGCCTCCTGCACACCCCACACTGGGGATGTGCCCACAACCAAGGTACATGCCCTTGACTGGAATTGAACCTGGGACCTTTCAGTCCACAGGGCAACGCTCTATCCATTGAGCCAAACCGGTCAGGGTGGAACCAACTTTTTGTTTCATTGATTATCTCCCTTGTTTTACTATTCTGTAATTTATCTATCTCCACTCTAATCTTTATTAGAATTTAGTTTGTTCTCTTTCTCTAGTTCCTTATGTTGTAGAGTTAGATTGCTTATTTGAGATCTTTCTTCCTATTTAAAGTAAGCATTTACAATTGCAAATTTCTTGCCCAAGATTCTCAACTTCTCTGAGCCGCATATTCCACAACAGAAAATTACAATAAGAGTACCTGCTTCGTGGTATTGTTTTAAGTATTTAATGTGCTATTGAATCAAACCCTTAGCAAAATGTCACACGCAACAGAAATGTTTCATGGTATTGGCTGCTATTATTACTTCTATTATCACTGGCCTCTATGAAGTCAGTGGTCCTAGAGTCCAGGATCCACCCCTTACTAATCATATGACTTTGGGTAAATTTTTCACCACTCTAAGCCTCAATTTTTTCATCAGTAAAATGGAAATAATGTCTATCTGACAAGGTTATTATATGAATCAGATGAGATATAACAAAAGTATTTAGCACAGAGTCTGGCACATAGTAAGTGCCCCATAACAGCAGGTAAAATTAATATTAATCCTTAATCTTGAGTTCACTAGTGAGGGCAACAGAAATGGGGAAAAAAGGACACAGATGCAAAATGATTTAATTTAGGGTTAGGGGGGCATTATACACACACAAAAATAATCATTATAGGAAAAGAAAAGAGGAGTTGAGTGCAAAGTCTCAAGCCTGATTTGTTAGTTTTCATCCCCTGGGAGGCAGCCATGATGGGATCAGACATACAAATCTTTATTTGGGGGAAAAATCCCTGTGAAGAAAAGAACGTGGGATGGAAGTGGGAGGAGCCTGGAAGTTTCCTCTGGCAAGGATGCAGATCTGGTTATTGTGCAGGAGAAAGAAAAGAAAGATTTAGGTTGAAGTGCCATCTTTTCTGTTGTTCTTTTTTTGTTTGTTTGTTTTTTTGCCCATCTTTGTGAATTAACTTTGGAAGACAGCAAGCCATCTGCATGAAAAGTTTTGAAATTTTGAAAGATGATTATATAAGAATACTTCGAGAACATTTAAAGGATATAACATTACTGTTTAGTATTCACTTGGCAAACTGAAAAAGAAAAGTGCTGACATTATGCCCCTTTTAGACAATTATTTTCAAGCTTTAGTTTGTATAGGAAATCTTTAGGGTGCTTGTTAAAATTTCCAGATTCCTAGACTCTACCTATAAAAGTTCTGATTCAGAATGTCTGAATGTCTGGAGTGGGACCCAGAAGTTTGCGTTTTAAAAAACATCCCAAAGAATTCTGTTGTAGGTGGTCTTTGAAATACTACGTTTCGACATACTGGTTTAAAGGTCTCAAGTAACTCTAGACAACATCTGTAGGCAAAAAATAGTCCTAGGGTAGGGAGTGTTTTCTTCCTAGAATCACTGTGGATCTCATGCAAAAGTCAAAGGAACACAAGCTCTTCGGACACCATGACTATGGGAGCTAAACATCCCTCTGATCTAAAGAACACTCCCAACTGCCCATAAAGATCCAGGATGAATATCTGTAATGACCAACCCATTATTTTTACCAGAGGAAACTAGGAGACTGCCCTTTAACTCTGCTACCAGGGCTTTTGGAAGCTCCAAACGGCTTCCTAAAATGTGATCTTTCTCCATGAGCCGTGGGCCTATGAGATGAGAACCTATCACTTCCCAATGCACCATCTCCCCGCTATGTTCCCTCGAGCATCCCTGCTTTCCAGGATGGAATGCTGTGGAACAAAACAAAGGTGTTAGTGGTGACTACTTGGGATGGAATCATTTACTTCTCAAGGAATTACACTTACCCCTCTCAGGGTGATTGGAGAGCATATGTCTGTTTCAGGTTAGAAAAGGGAGCTGGGGGTTCACAGACTGTCTAAACAGCGACATTTCCGCAACCTATGGTCAGTATGCCTTCTGGGTTTGCCACCACAATCCTTAAATGGAAACTTTTTTCACGGTACAGGAGCTGGCAGAACTTTTTGCTCTAACTTGAATAGGAAAAAATTCTCCTGCACAAGACACCTTTAGGTTTATTTAGGGAGTTAGGTCTCAGGAAGAGACCTGTTTTAATTGTGTGTTTTTTTTTAATTCAACCCTGGAAGTAGTGAAGGGAAGCAGGCTGGACAATACCTTTAGATCCCCAGTAGCTCTCATTTTAAAGCATGTTGGAAACACCTCCAATGCCATGTTTTTTTAATGTTGTGTGGAGGTGTGGCTGTGTGTGAGAGAGGAAGGGAGAGGGAGAGAGAGAGAATTATTGATCAGCTGCCTCCTGCACACCCCCCACTGGGGATCCAGTCAGCAACAGTGGCATGTGCCCTGTCTGGGAATCGAACCAGTGACCTTTTGGTGCAGGGAACGACGCTCCAGCCACTGAGCAACACCTGCCAGGGCTACAGTGCCTTCTAAGAGAGTATCTGCAAGGCTGATGGGGAGTCCTTGAGCTAAAGTTACCCACAAGATGAAAACCATTGCTCACAGCATTGGACTTATTTCCGATCCCTGCTGGGAGCCTGGGGGAAGTCTCTGTGTAAAGCAGGTGGTACATTCACCACCTTCCATCAGTTAAGTCCTCACCAAGGAGACCTGACTAACACATATTCATGGCCGCCACACCTGGTACAGAAAAAACGCAACCATGAAAGGTGGGAAGTTATGACTTACAAAAATGGCCATCAGCTTTCTCACATTTCCAGAGCTCCAACCATATCTCAGTGCAAAGAGTCCAGGTTGGAATTGTGTCAAGTCTGGGCACCAACATAGAAATACAATGAGAGAAAAAAATTACGAGGCTATAGTGAGCTATTTACCTCATAGCAGCCCTCCCAGGGGAAATTTCTTCCTTGGAGGAACAAGTAGAGGCTACTTCATGCTGGGAGTTGTTTCCCAGGGCACCCCCACTGTAAAATAACGTCACCTCACTCACTCTTCTCTTTTCTATCCATGACAGATGATCCAACACTACCAAGTCCTGGCCTCTCAGTTGGAGCAATGGCCGGCATCGTGGTTGGCGTCCTGGCTGGCGTAGCTCTGGTAGCAGCGCTGGCGTACTTCCTGTATGTCAGAAAGACTGGAGGGTATGACGGCCTTCCCTCTTGCTCCGCTTCCTCCATGGCTGATGACCATCCTGGGAGAGGGAAGGGGACTTCCCCTCTGTCTCTGGGCCTGGATCTGCTCCTCCTCCTTCTTAAATCCCTGCTTCTCAGCACTGATTCCTGAGGCCTCTCCTTCCCTGGTCTTCAAGCTTCCTGTACCCCACTCTCTTTGGGACATGGTTATTCCCATCCCCCTGTGGTTTAGAGAGGGCAGATCTGACTATGTTCCTTGGTCCTATAGTCAGGGAAACCAAGGTCCAAGAAGGAAGACAAATCAGTAAATGAAAAGAGTAGCAGGAGAAAGCGAGTTGTGTGCTCTGTCAACCACAGGAAGAGGAGAAGAGAGGGGCAGGTCAGGAAGAGAACCTTAAAAATACGTGAAACCAGCCTGGCCCGTGCAGCTCAGTGGTTGAATATTGACCCATGAACCAGGAGGTCACAGTTCAATTCCCAGTCAGGGCACATGAAAGGATGGGGGCTCAATTGCCAGAACAGGGCTTACAGGAGGCAGCTGATGGATGATTCTCTCATCATTGATGTTTTTATCTGTCCTTCTCCTTTCCTCTCTCTAAAATCAACAGATTTATATATTTTTTAAAGCTGAAATTAAAGGCCTTTTGGGAAATAAATGAAGAATGAAAACAGAATCAACAAAGCCAAAGGTGTCCAGGTAGAAATAGGCTCAGAAGGAACTGATAAAGACTACTCTTTATCAGTTTGTGCTCTGGCCAGGTGTACATTCTCAGTAAGGACACAAACCTAAGTTGAGGGTTCTATCCCCTGATGGGGCACCTCTCTCTCTCTCTCTCTCTCTCTCTCTCTCTCTCTCTCTCCCTCTCTCTCTCTCCCTCTCCTCTCTCCTCCCTTCCGCTTTCTGAAGGTAATAAATACCAGATGAAGATTTTTTTAAAGGGATGGGCCTGTGTGAACGTTAGTGCAGCAGGAAAGGAGTGCACTATAGGAGGGATGGTGGGTACACTGAAGAGGAGCCCTAGGAGGAAGGCAATACTGACTCTGTTCTAAATGAGCGGACAGTGTCCTTCCTACTTCAAGGAGCAAAGATCCTGTGCTTGGGAATAGCAGTCACAGTCTCTGATATTTGTTTAGGGCAAGTGACCAGCATGATCTCACAGAGCACAAACCTTCAGCCTCCAACAACAGTAAGTAAAGCCATCACCAGTGAGAGCTGGTGTGTTCCACCACATGCCCTGCCCTAGCAGGAAACCTGGTCCCAAGGATTCAGTACCTTCTGAAATGTTAGAGGAGATCTCCACTTCCCAACCTTAGGTTGTCGTAGGTCCTCACACCCTTCTAGTCACAAAAGATTCCCCTGAGACCCAACCCTGGGAGAGACTCACTCAGCCAGACCTGGCAGGCCTGAGTAAGATGGACATGTTTTCCAAAGCCATTCCTCATCTACCCCTTCCCCTCCTCCTCTATTACGGATGTGGGCACTCTCCTTTGGTGAGACTTTCCCTGTCTTGTGGTGCTCTGGGTGCAGTCAGTCTCTATGCCCCTCCTTGCCACTGGTGCCTGTTGCTGAGAAACTCAACTGGGCAAAAACAACACCTTGTGAGCTGGGGAAAAAAATTCAGAAGTGGACTGAGGCCTCCCTGCCCCACTCACCCCTCAACCCTACCCCCTCCTGCTGGTACTAACACCCTGGGTCTGGACCACAGACTCTGAGAAGAAGCAATTTCCTTAAGTAATCATGGGCTACATCCCACCCTCCTCCTACCACCTGCCACCTCCTTCAGCTAGAAATCACAACAGCTTAGGAACACCGAGGCTGTAAGACCCTAAGTCAGCTTTGCATTTTCATGGATTGCTAACTCTTCTTTCAACTCCCAGGTCAGGGCCACTCTGACAGCTCACCGAACAAGGTAAGCACAGCCAGTTTCACTGGCTCATTTTCTCATGCATATACCTCTATAGAGAATGGAGGACACAAGTGCAATCACGTTTGAATCAAGGTTCCTCAATGCAGCAACAAACCAAGATGTATTGGTTAACTACTCCCATGAGCCTACCTCATGCAAAAATGTGGGCTCTGGAATTACCCCTGTCCTGAGTTTGAATCCTGGCTGTGACTCTTAGTTCCTCTGTGACCTTGGGCACGTAACTTAATCTCTCTGATCCTCACCCTGTCATCTGTAAACACGAAATGCTGCCTACTTCAGAGAGAAGCTGAAGGATAGAAATGAGATAACACATGCAAAGCACCAGCACGGTGCCCAACATCAGGAAGGCACTGGGTCATTCTCCCTCCTCTACCTCAATCTGATCCTGTTCTTCCTGTTAAAGGATAATGTCCATTCCAGTGGGTCTGAGGTCTTAGTTCCTTCACTTTATAATAACTTTACTGAGCTTCTCTCATTTAGCCTTTCAACAGAGCACACACATGTGTTGAAAAGTGCTTAAAGCATATGTATATGTTAACAATGTATAAATTACCATGAGTTGAGCATACCCTTGTAAGGTAAGTAACACTGAAATGAAGAAACAAAACATGTCATCTCCCTGCAAAATGAAACCCTCCAGTCACTTTCCTGCAAAGAGTAACTATATCCTGCCTTCCAATGCACTAGATTATTTTTGCCTGTTTATGCTCTTACATTAAAAAGCACAGTATATCCTTATTTGTGTCTTGTTTCTTTCATTCAAAATGGTTTTCATGAGACTTATCCATATTGTTGTATATATTTGTAGCTGTTCATTCTCACTGCTGTATCCCCCTCTTCCATTGTATGAATAACATAATCTGTCTTCTAATGATCATTCAAATGATGTCAGCAAGCATAGAAAATGGGAAATAAAAATCCTCCAAAACTAGAAGTTTCAAGTGGTGAGAGCAGGTGGTGCCAAATGACAGGAGGCCAGGTGAGGGCCCGGCCTGTGACACTGATTTAATTGACCACTTCTTATCCCTTTCAGACCCATGAAGTTACATATTCTTTGCTGAGCTTCAGTGGCCAAGAATCAAAGAAACCAACGTCAGCCTCCCCATCCCCACCAGCCACAGAGCCAGTTTATGCGGAAATAAAAAAGAAGTAATGCAGCCAGCCCAGCTCACCACACTGCTGCCTGATTCCAGTCTCATCCCATCACCAGGAGACCCCGTTGCCCTCAGGGAAAAGGAGAGGATGCGACCACAACCCCGGAAGAGCACACCTGGAAAGCCTCTTTCCCCTCCGCCCCTGCCCCCCCCCCCCCCCCCCACTCTGTCATGAGGCAGCTCCAGGCTCCTGGTCACAGCCCCTCCCTTTGGTGTCAACAGGTGAAAAGAGTCTGTAGGAAGCCCAACCTTCCTTTGCATTGAAATTTGGCTCATTAAATTAGTACTAGAACCAACAAAGTCTAGAGATGATTCCTTAAAAAGTAAACTTCTGGCCCTGACCGGTTTGGCTCAGTGGATAGAGCATCAGCCTGCAGACTGAAAGGTCCCAGGTTTGATTCCGGCCAAGGGCATGTGCCTTGTTTGCGGGCACATCCCCAGTAGGGTGTGTGCAGGAGGCAGCTAATCAATGTTTCTCTCTCATCGATGTTTCCAACTCTCTATCCCTCTCCCTTCCTCTCTGTGAAAAATCAATAAAATATATTTTAAAAAATAAAAGCAAACTTCTGGATGAATGATTAAGAAAAAATGAGGGTGGGCACAATAAGCAATAATAGGAGTAAAAAAGAAAACAATGACAGCAGGCAATAGGAGAACATCAGGAGCATCTTTATTGCAAAATTAGATTAAAAGGAATAAATGCTTAGAAAAATAAAATGAAACCAGAACTAAGTCAAAAAGGAAGAGAATTATGAGTAGCCCTATTAACCAACAGACAAACTGAGTTTATATGTTTAATCTTTCCAATAAAGGATACATATAACCTAGATTATTTGACAGGAAGTTTTCCAAACATTCAAGCAGCAATTAATTCTTTTTTTATTATTATTCATTTCAGAGAGAGAGAGAGATAGAAACATCAATGATGAAAGAGAATCATTGATTGGCTGCCTCCTGCACACCCCACATTGGGGATCAAGCCCGCAACCTGGGTAACATGCCCTGACCAGGAATCAAACCGTGACCTCCTGGTTCATGGGTCGATGCTCAACCACTGAGCCACGCCAGCCAGGCAAGGATCAATTAATTATAATATTACAGGTGCTCTTACAGAAAACAAGAGAGAGAACACTTCCCCAGCTCTGATTGTGTGGCTGGTATAATGTTGACCACCAAATCAGAAGAAACTTGCTAGACATGAGCAGAGCAGGGACATGAGCCAAGTACAGAGACTCACCAGGACAGAAAGCTCCAGATGACTCAAGGAGCACAATTGAGAAAACAAGAACCTAAGCTCACCCCGCAACCCCCATCTTTCATATTGCTTTTCAGACAGTTTAGACCGGCTGACATTTTCTTCCCTAAAGATAACATCTAGGCTTCAGTTGTATTTCAGCTCCAGGCCCAGAAAAGCAGAAAAACCAGACAAATGACACAGGGCTGCCTCCGGACCTATTGCATTGACTAATAACTTCCTGCCCTGGCAGCAACCAATCAGTGGCAACCACGATCCTGAAAGAGTACACCTGGGATGCTGATGAGTATTCTATTAAGACCCTCCCCTGAGACCTCCCCTAAGATTTCCACCTGAAAGAAAGAGAGAAATGTGCTCAGGATAAAGGTCCCAGTGTGCACTCTCCCTCCAAGGAGCATGCCCTTCCCATTTCCCGACAAGCATGTATCCCCCAACCTCTAAGGGACCCCATGAGACCTGCAACCAGGGGAGCAATGGGCAGCGGCAGCTTGTCTCCGGCTAACCCCCTGCACTTGTCTCCAAGGGCCCTTTTCTCTGACTTCTCAGAGTCAAAGCAGCCCAGCCTAGGCTTCTCTGTTGCTTCTTCTATGCCAAGGGTTCTCAACCTGTGGGTCGCGACCCTTTTGGCGGTCGAACGACCCTTTCACAGGGGTCACCTAAGACCATCCTGCATATCAGATATTTACATTACGATTCATAACAGTAGCAACATTACAGTTATGAAGTAGCAACGAAAATAATTTTATGGTTGGGTCACAACATGAGGAACTGTATTTAAAGGGCCAGAAGGTTGAGAACCACTGTCATCTATGCCCTTGTTTCACGGTCCTAAGTACATTTTTGCTGCCATCATGGGGTACAATACCTTTTGCTCAGTACTGCGTAGTCCTTCCCATGCATATCCTCATCTCCCGTCCCCTTTTCCTTAAATAAATTCCATTTTCTTTAATCACCATCTGAGATGGCCACTTAATTCTTTCAAAACTCAGAAAGGAAAATAATAGGCTAGTATTAGCAAGTATGAACATCCTTCATGAACAGTAACACAATCAGCAATGAATAAAAACGATAATGTGCAGGAAATGTGGGTTTGTTTCAGAAACACCATTTCACAATATAAAAGTCACTAATTCACAGCATTAAAGGTTTAAAGAAGAAAAACCATGTACATTTTTCAAAAGACACTTTCAAGAAAAACTCCACCTAAAATTCAGCCTCTATTTATGTTAAGAACTTAATAAACCAGAAATAAAAGGAACTTCCTTAATCTGAAAACGAGTGTTTAAAAATTTGATAGTAAAGTGTGGACTGAAAGGGGCCACACACTAAACATAACAAGCTCAAGGGAGGCCTGGGAGGTGGCCTTGCAAACTCAGAGACCTAAAGTGACCACAAAAGATGGTGTGACATTAAAACTTTTAACTAGGTTGGGACGGCCCTGGTGAGGTTGAAACAGATAATGGGGACCAGTATAGACTGATTAACAGGGGTAGATGCAGAGGCAGAACAGCATTGAACAGACTGTCAAACTACAGTGGGAAGCCTGGGGAGGATTTGGGGAGGGTTAAGAGGTCAACTGAAGGACTTATATGCATGCATATAAGAATAACCAATGGACACAAGACACTAGGGCAAGGGTGGGCAAACTTTTTGACTCGAGGGCCACAATGGGTTCTTAAACTGGACCGGAGGGCCAGAACAAAAGCATGGATGGAGTGTTTGTGTGAACTAATACATGTTAACACTGCTGCTGGTGAAGGAGCGGAGGGGAGAGCAAGAGAATCCTCCGCTCTTTCGGCTCCGCGGGCCGGATAGAACAGCCGAACGGGCCGGATCCCGCCCGCGGGCCGTAGTTTGCCCACAGCTGCACTAGGGGATAGGGGCTGGGGGAATTTCAAGGGGGGGGAAAGGAAACATATGTAATACTCTTTGTAATACTTCAAGAAATAAAAATTATTTAAAAAAAAAAAAAAAACTTTTAACTAAAAGCAGTTTATGGCAGCTAGTAATGTCCTAGGCTAGACTCTTACCTAGCAAGTCAATTTTGACTTTAACTGACCCTGAAACAGAAGGGAAAATCAGTGGCTGGTTTTTTTTAATCCAGGCATTTCAATTGGAATTGTTTTCTGAGAGTCTGAGCAGTACCCGTTCACTGTATAAATGAGAGCTGAAGTCGTTCAACTCTGAAGATAAGGGGCATGTCCTCCTTCCAGCCCAAATCTCCGGTGTTCTTAATAACTAAGGATTTTTGTGGAGGTGTGAGAGGTCATTCCTCATGACATGCAGGAGCCCACAGTGATATTCCAACTCAACTGTAATTAAACTGACCAGCTCATGAGGAGGAGCACCCATGAGGCCACCTGGTGCCCCAAGCCCCTCTAGTTGTCTTAGACAGCTGGGAGAGAAATCAAGTCACATAAGAAGGTTGGATAAGACTCAAGGGGTAAGAGCTTCCTGGAGCTCAACCCATAAGCAGTAAGTACACTTTTTTTTTTAATATATTTTATTGATTTTTTACAGAGAGGAAGGGAGATAGAGAGCCAGAAACATCAATGAGAGAAACATTGATCAGCTGCCTCCTGCACATCTCCTACTGGGGATATTCCCACAACCAAGGTACATACCCTTGACCGGAATCGAACCTGGGACCTTTCAGTCCGCAGGCCGACGCTCTATCCACTGAGCCAAACCGGTTTCAGCAAGCAGTAAGTACACTTTGACCCACTATATAACATCCCTAGAAAATTTGCTCAAACTCTACAGATATCCAAAACCCACTAAAATTAACATAGGAAGTAGTGCTTCCAAGGCCGGGAACTCCCAGACCCCAAACCTCATTCGTACTCCTGATAGGGAGCCTTTACTTTTTTTTTAATGACCATTTTACTTTATTTTTTAAAAATATTTTTATTGATTTCAGAGAGAAAGGGAGAAGGAGAGATGGAAACATAAATGATGAGAGAGAATCATTGATCAGCTGCCTCTTGCACGCCTCACACTGGGGGTCCAGCCTGCAACCTGGACATGTGCCCTGACCAGGAATCAAACTGTGACCTCTTGGTTCATAGGTTGATGATGCTCAACCACAGAGCCAAGCCGGCTGGGCGGAAGCCTTTACTTGCAAGTAACTTATAGAAATGGGAAGATTGAACTAGAAATTATATTAATTTAAAATGGTCAAAATGCACCTGACTGGTGTGGATCAGTGCTTGAGTATTGACCTATAAACCAGGAGGTCATAGTTCAATTCCCAGTCAGGGCAAAAGCCTGGGTTGCGGGCTCAGTCCCCAGTGGGGGGCATGCAGGAGGCAGCCAATCAATAATTCTCTCTCATCATTAATGTTTCTATCTCTCCCTCTCCCTTTCTGAAATCAACAAAAATATATTTAAAATATAAAATAAAATGGTCAAAATGCAGTTGTCTTTGGGTGCTTAAATTAATTTTTTCATGCAAAAATTAGAAAAAAATGAGGGTTTTAAAATTAAACTAAATGAATGAATGGGAAATGTGTCTTGATTTGGAAATTAGAAGTTCCCAAGAAAAGCACAGATAAATTTTAAAAAATAATAATAAATTCTAGAGATTGTCTCTGAACTCTTCTGAAGCTCATAAATGCTTACACTTCATTCTTCCTTCTTCTATACCTCCTCCACTATATCCTTTGCTCTCAGAGCTTCCTTGTTCAGCCTTGCCCTTCCCCTCCCTTCTTCCTTCCCCTTCTGTCTCCTCCACTATCACTCTCTACTGACATAAAGGAATTCTAACAGCTCCCTTTGGAGAAAAGTTGACCTCAGATGCAACAGGATAAGAATGGGGTTGTTAGAAATACTAGGAGAGAAGGGGTCTCT